TGTTATATGAACCTCAATAATATGTATATATGTCAGCGGCGTGTCTGGAATGTATTTTTTGGCTGTGACAGACCTTTCTTTGTTTCGTGGATGTTTTGCTGGCTTGTGATGGGGTGTGAACCGACAGTCTGTAGAGTTTTCCATCTGGTGTGGGTGAGTGATAGTCTACTTTGATTTTGGTTAAGGTAGATTATCATTTACAGTGTAATCAGTGAGGGGATTTTGCAGACTGTTGAGGGTTCAGCCTCCTGATGAGTCGGTGAAACTCCAACGAAACAGTTTGTCACAGCCCTTCGTTTGTTGTCCTCTTCTCTATCTCTGCCTACGGTTTACCGGGCAGTTCTGTTTGTGACGATATATATATATATATACATATCGTCAATATAATAGTCTAGGGTTCAAATCCTGCTATACCCATAAGGATATGATGAGATAGACATGCTTATACTCCTTTCAGGCAACTAACTTGTATGCATATTCCATAAAGAAATGACTATGGCGAAATTGGTTTACGCACCACACTTAGCATGTAGAGAACTTTGTGATGTATAAAATACTATAAATAAATGAGTTATATCGGTGAAACTCCGACGAAACAGTTTGTCACAGCCCCTCGTTTGTTGTCCTCTTCTCTCTCTCTGCCTACGGTTTACCGGGCAGTTCTGTTTGTGACGATATATATATATATTTTTTAAACACGCCCTCCAGTGTTAGTGCTGCTGATAAGGCCAGACACCACTAACACCTGGGGAGAGGCTCCATCTATTGGTGGGGAGCGTCACCTGCTGGAAATCGGGTCCAGCGTCCCATATACGAAAATTTTGCATAGTAACTGTGGACCTGCCAGCATTGATTACCCTGCGACCCAGGGGATCGACTGAGTGGGTCTGTACAGTGTCCGGTGATGTAGCCCTTTGTATGCTTGGAGAATTGTCATTGCCTTCTGTATCTCTTCACCGTCAGAGGAAGGGCACCTGATAGGATGTGAAGGACTGATACCATTCAGCAAGACAACAATCTTTTCTATCCTTTTGTTTCACCCAGACCTCTGTTCCAATTTTGTTAAAAACCTTCCCATTCTACTTTCCACTCTATCCTTAGCCCCTAATCCCCCTGTACCATTCCATTTCAACCAGAGAAAGAGGAGGGGGTGGAAACCGTACCATTCCATTTCAACCAGAGCAAGAGGAGGGGGTGGAAAAAGGTTCGGAAAGTCTGAGAAGGGTCTGAGCAGGATGGAGGGGTCGATTTGGATCCAGTCTTGAAAACATTTCTCCCTTTTTCTCCCCACCCTTCCATATTACCTTAGCGATCCCGACCTCTTTTCCCCCGCCCAGCCAATCTTTACAAAATTTCTCAATAAGTTGTCTGATTTCTCGTTTACAATGTAGGTATGTGATTTTTTCTTTAAGTTTTTCCCATTGAATAGAATATTTTTATGTATTTGTTCCTTTATTGAATTGATGAATTTCGTTCCATCCCGGCGCACCCCTTCCATTTCGAGTGTGCATCGTCTCCACCAGATGACCCAGATCACCGCCCTGCGGCCTATTTTGAACATATTTTCTTCAAAAGGGGTGGCTTGCTCCGGGGCCCATGTCTCACAGAGGAGTGCTCTCCAGTCCCAAGGCCAAGGTTGTGAGGTGTCCAATTGCCTCCATATGCGATCCCACCATCTCCACAGCCATTTTGCTGTCGGGCACTGTAAGAACATGTGCTTTATGGTTTCTGGCCATTTTCAAGTCAGATCATATGTTGAAATTTCCATGTTATATAGAATCGAATAGAAATTGTTTATAGACTGTATTGATCAATCAATACAAAAAGAAATTATTTTTTCTATTCCCCCCCCTAAAACAAAAAAAGCCCAGGTTGTTATAGAGCCTTGATTCCCACCTATAGTGGGCACTGTCATGGGAGCGCCAGAACCGGTAAGCTTCCCTAGGGACCGCTCCCTGGTACTATTCCGACCACGCAGGAACTCACGGCTACCAGGGGAGGTTATGATATCCTGGTGACGGTATTTCATTACGCCCATCCCTAGTTTGGCCCCCAATCCAAGATTTCAAGGCTCCCATCCGTTCGCATTCCAGCCACACTGAAGGTTCCAAGGGGACCATCCCAGGTACTATTCCAACTCAATCAGCTAATGGGCACACTGGCGCGCGACGGAGTCACTGCCACCCTACCCATCCTCACATCAATTCTCCTAGCGTATCCCCTACAACTACTATCCTTAGTATCCTACCTCAATGACCAGCACTCAGGACAATCACCCTCATAATGATATCGACTGAACAGTAGTTACAGGCATTAGACTAGAGAGTAACCCCACCCAGTCCTAGTGGACGAGCAGTCGTGCAAGCCTTGTTACCCGAGGACTTTGACCGCCAGGCACACTCAATATCTCTACCAGTCCCACCGACGAACCAGGTCCCAAGTAGGTGTTACATATGAGCTAGTGCGAACCCCCCGTGGCCCGTACAACCTAACCCATAACCCATGAGAGCCACTACCAAGGATCGGTCTCCCCAGTCCCACCGACGAAAC